TGTGTGTGTGTGTGTGTGTGTGGCCAGCTCAGCCCACCAGGGGGCGGGGCTGGCTGGCATGTGGTGCTGGGGGATTGAACCGCAGTCCCTATGCTTTGCTAAGCTTGTTCTAAGTAGGCGCTTTAGACCACTGAGCCATCTCACCAACCCCTCAAAGTCAGTCTGAACTGTATGGTGAGACCCTGTCTCAAAAAGTAAAATAAAATAAAATTTATTAAGAATTTCTGGTAACAGAGGTGAATGTTTGTCTTATCATATTAAGCTGGGGTAGGGGAGGGAGGGGAAGAAATGTCAGTTCCAACTCCTACAGAAAACCTTCCCAAGGCTGGCAAGATAGCTGGGTAGACTGTGTCTTAAAAATTAGACATATGGGGGCCGGGGAGATGGTTCAGTGGAATAAGCGCTTCCCTGGCAAGTGCAAGGCCTGAGTTCAATCCCCGGTTCCACCAAAAAAAAAAAAAAAAAAAAAAAAAAAAAAAATTAGACATATGGAGGGAAGGAGGGGAAAAAGGTAGGTAGATGGACAGATAGATGGATGAATAAATGGATGGATATATGGATAGATAGAGAGATATATAGGGCTAGGGTGTCCCTAACATCATAAAAAATAGAGAAAACAAAACTTTTGTAGGATTAGGCACTATCTGTTCTCTCTGGTATCCTCCTTGAACTGAACGTTTAGCTCAATTCTTCACAGTTATAGGCACCTGTTTAGGCAAGCAAAGGGACTGGGGTTTGATTTCTGGAACCCCATGTGGAACTGGCCCCACGCCTGGGTGAGCTGACCTGACCACTGAGACCAGGCATGGTGGTACACGTCTGTAGTCCCAGTGCTGGGGAGGCTGAAAACAGGAGGATCACTACGAGTCTGAGCTGTGTAGTGGGACCCTGTATGAAATATATAAAAAAATAAAACCTTCCCAGTCATGGTAGATGTCATTTTTTAAAAATAAATAAATAAATAAATAAACAAACATGAACTATGTGATCAGTAATGATAATTTGGTCCTGGAAGGTACACTGACTTGAGGTGTATCTTATGTACCTGTTTTATATTAAAAACAACTGTAGGGGCTAGTGAGATGGTTCAGTGGTCTAAAGCACCTACTTAGAACAAACTAAAAGCACAGGGACCCCGGTTCAATCTCCCAGCACCACATGCCAGCCCGCCCCGCCCCCTGGTGGGCTGAGCTGGCCACACACACACACACACACACACACACACGAATAAAATTAAAAAAAAAAAAAACTGTACCAGGCTGGGGGTAGAGCTCAGTGGTAGAGCACTTGCCCAGCACGCATGGGGCCCTGGGTGCACCTGCCAGTGCTGTACAAAAACAGAACAGCCTGCACATGACCAACCCTACTACTTGGGGAGTATGAAGCAAGAAGATCCCAATAGAAGCTCAGCCCAGACAACTTTTAGTGAGCTAGTGAGACCCTGTCTCAAAAATTAGATACATGGAGGGAAGGAGAGAAGAAAGGTAAGTAGACAGACAGACAGACAGACAGACAGACAGACAGAGAGGTCTAAGGTATCCGTAGCATCACAAAAAATAGAGAAAACAAAACAAAACCTTTGTAGGGTTAGGTACTGTCCTCTCTGGAATCCTCCTTGAACTGAATGTTCAGCTCAATTCTTCACAATTATAACTGTTCCATAAAGAACAGCTAAATAAAACAATGATTAACTGCATGCAGGAAGGAATTTTCTCTATAAATGCCTATAGGAATAGGTCAATTTCCTTTTCTTAGAGAATAACAACTGAACAGCTCCTTTTTTCCATATGCCGGGAATCAAGCCCAGGGCCTCAAGCATGCTATGTAAGTGCTCTACCACTGAGCTACATCCCTAGCCACTTTTTTTTTTTTGGCAGGGGGGAGGGGTGCTATAGACTGAACTTTGATTGCACATGATAAGCATGTAAGTTACTTACATGCAATATGTAAGTGTTCTATCACTGAACTACACCCACCCCCAGCGTCTATTTTTCCCTATTAGCCACGACTACTTTGAAGCTCAGAGCACCTCACTTAGAGGATCTGGTCACAGGTGCAGGCAGGCCATCCCAGGACATTGTAGTCACCTTCCCCTGGAGATTGAACTCAGACCCTTGCACTTGCCAGGGAAGTGCTTATTCTACTGAGCCATCTCCCTGGCCCCCTTGCTCCAGGTTCTGAAAGAAGTGCTGAAAAGGCTTCTGCATAGGCTTGGGAGAGGCTGAGAATCACCTCAAATCCAAGGATTAGAGAACCTATGGTAGCAATTCTCATCCTCCCATGTTACAGAGGAGAAAGCTGGGGCCAGAGGCATGCCGGCCAGCAGAACAGAGACCTGCATTCAGGTCCAAGAGACAGGTCATCCTCATCTTTACCACGGACCAGTCCTTAAGTAAGATTTCTCATGTACTCAACTTTTCCTACAACTCTGTGAGGTATTTTCATTTTGTAGGTTGGAAAGCAGAAAAGTCACACAGAGGTGAAGTGACTTATCCGAGCTCTGGCAGCTAGTGTGGATTGGACCCACAATTGGAACACAAACAGCCTGATCACACAAATTAGTAATTTCATTCAACTACATAAATTATTACATTTCCTGTATTTTCAGTATGGAAGCTTATACAGAAAAAAAAAATCAATTTCTTAAGATGAGGTTATAAGCTTCCTTTGATTAGGCCATAAAAATAGTCCAAACTTCCTTATTTCTTTTGTTGCTTAAAACTCAAAAACTCACCCTCCATAGATCACTCTGCCTTTGGGAAGCACCCCCCCCCCCCTTCCCACCCAGCCTCTCACTTGACTAGGGTTAGACCCACCTCAGAGGCATAGGAATCATTGTCTTCAGCTCGGTAAGGCCTGAAGCTCCAAGAGGAGTCAACCTTAGAGTCCAAGTCACTGGTGCGGAAGGCCTCTCGGATTCTGGGCTCCCATTCCGGCGGGTCCCTGAAGTCAGAGGGCTATATCGGCAGGCACAGGCAGAAGGAAACAAAGACAATCATGGGGAGACAACAAAGGACTGCCATATACAACCCTCAATCCAAGCCCACAAGCTCCCAAAGAGGCTCTGATCACTGATGGGACCACGTGGATTTACCTCGGCAGGCTCAACAGTCAGTCCTTAGCCTGCTAAGGATCACAGCTGCCACTCAGTATTTGTTGAAAAGATGAATGAGCGGTTAAGTAGTGAGTAAAACTATTTTTGTCAGTGTCTGTCTTGTGCACAAACCCTCTGACACAGCCAACCAGCCTGTCACATGTATGTTCCTACCTTATTCCTACTTTAAGAAGAACCAAGAGGAACACTACACATGGGGCAGACTGCTTAAAAGAGCAGGATCAAGCCAGCTCTCAGGGCAGGAGTTAAGAGCTGGGCACCGCGCTGCTGAGCAGTTATCGGAAAGCCTGAGCTGACTCTCCTGGCAGACACGGATAGGTCCCTGCTCTTGCTCCCAGATGCAGATCATAGCTCCCGAGGCTCTGCATCCAGCTCCCCCCCTCGCTCACTGCCCTGGACACACCATATTCCCCCTGCCTCTGATGGGTCTAGGGCAAGTTCCTTGGTCAGAATTCCATTTATCTTTCCTTCAGATCCCTCCTCTCAGTTTGTAATTTCACATTTACTGGCATGACATTTTGACTAACTCTTCCCCATTAGACAAAGGGCCTTAAGAACAGAAAGTCTATCTGGTTTTGCTTATCATGATACCTTCAGCGCCAAGAACAGAAAATGTATAAATTATACGTGGATCATCATAGCAAACGTACACATGAATAAACTGCATGAGAAAAATACACTGCTTAGTAACAGTAAGTATAAGGGGTGCAAAGAAAATACATGACAATATATGTACAGGAAGATTTAGAAAGGCAGCTCTAAGGATGACATATCCTAGATCTGTGCAACTAAACACATGCCCAGTGTGTGACAACTGAGCACTTGAAATGTGACTACTGCAACGGAAGAACTGAATTTTTAATTCTAAGTAGTTCTAATTAGTGAATTAATTAATGTGCTACGGGTACGGAACCCAGGACTTGCTAGGGAAACTTTCAACCACTGAGCTCCACCACAGTGCCACGTGTAGCTGCTCTACACAGTGCAGCTCCTGACTACTGGCAGTAGTACCAGGGCTGGAGATGGAGCATCTACAACGTCCTGTAAAATTACAACAGACTAGTAGTACCAGTGGGCTCTCATCTTTCTACCCCCGGCACTTCTCAATCTTTTTAAATGTCTGCTTTTGCAACAAGACATTTGGAGGGGGGAGCATCTTTGTTATTTTATGCTGGAAGTCCATTACCTAGAGAAAGCTGAGTTTTTGTTCATTTGTTTTTTAAATGTATTCAGTACAGGGTCTCACTATGCAGCTCAGACTTGCAGTGATCCTTCTGTTTTCAGCCTCCCCAGCACTGGGATTATAGATGTGCGCCACCACACCAGGTCTTGTTGGCCTGCTTACCATGCCTGGTGGTGGGGCCAGTGTGGCCTGTGGTGCCAAGTATCGAACCCCAGTCCCTGAGCTTGCCTAGGCAGTTGCTTAGTCCACTGAGCCATATCACTGGTCTGAAAGCTAGGTTTTGAGACAGGATCTTACCGTGTAGCTCAGGCTAGCTTCAATCCTCCTACATCAGCCTCCAGAGCATGGAATCAGAGGCATGAGCCTCCGTACCCAGCTAAGCATCTTGCCTTTACACTGAAACCAATCAAAAACTTCAAAAAAAAAAAAAAAAAAGTGTTTCAATTTTTTTTTTTTTTTTTTTTTTTTTTTTAACAAAAGAAATAAGAAAGCATAACTTGGCAAAAAGAGAGGCCCTTGAAATCAATATCTATCCATAATAAATGAATACATAATTTATTAGCAGCCTCAGTCCACAGGCTTATCCCTAGGAAGAATAAAGAAATTTTGCTACTCAGAACAACAAACAATGCTGAGTGAAAGCAGCCAGGCCCAAGCGAGTTTGAATGATAGGATTAATTTTATAAAGAATCTAGATAAATCTAAATCAAGAGAAGTGCTATCCTTGGGAGCAGGGACACTGAGTACAGGGGAATGAGGTGACTCTTGGGGTACTGGTCTTGTTCTAGGGGGCAGTTTCACTAGTGTGCTCACCGGAAATTCCAAAGGCTACATACAGCTGTTCTGCATCTTCCTCTCCGTATGTCATGATTCAGTACAAAGTTTATATAACATAGAAGTCACAGTACCTGTGATTGGGATGTCTTACCTGGAAGTCTGAGCCAAGGTCTTTGGCCAGAATGATCTCCTTGGAGGCGCCCTGGGAGCCCAGGGAGGGCAGTGGGGGAAAGGGCTCTGGCTGCTCCTTGCCTGAGCTCCCGAGGACAGAGTCTGCTTTCCGGGTGAAGGCGTTCAGCTCCTGCTGGAGCATGCTGAGCCGCACCAGGATGGCATGGATGAGCTTGGTGTCCCTGGGGCCCTCGCTGTTGTCAGGGGCCTCGTGCAGCCGGAAATCAGCACAGTCGTTGTCCAGACAGAGTCTGAGGCCTGCTGAGAAGCCGTTGGCATCAGCCACCAGAACGTCGATGGCCTTACTGACCAGAACAGCCTGCTCTCTCAGCCCTGGCAGCGCCTCAGCCTCTCGGGCCTTACAGAGCCGGCCTGAGTGGGACTCGTGGGCCTCTCCAAGGGGTGCAGGAACACACTGGGCAGAGTCCCCAGCCTCGGCATCTGTCTCCAGCATGGGGCGTGTGCTCTGGCAGGAGGCAAGGTCACAGCGCTGGAGGTTGGAGAGCAGCACCCGGTTCTCATACTGCAGCTTCTTGACCTTCCCGCTAAGCTCACCAATCTGCAGCTTGGCCGCTGCCAGCTCCTCTTGCGAGGGCTCACTGAGTACCGAGCAGCTGTCCTCTGACAGCGTCACGTCCAGCTCATGCTCCGAGCGGTACTTGGCCAGCTCGTTCAGCAGCAGCTTGTTCTGGTCCTCAAGTTCAGCGGAGGAGCGCCGCAGCAGCTCTGCCTCCTCCTCCACAAACTGCAGGTGTCTCCGCAGCTCCGCCAGGCTCTCTCCACACTCACTGCCCCCTAGCACAGAGAAAGCCTGCCGTGCCTCAGGGCCCCCCCAGCCACCGCTGTGGTCCTTCATGTCATCCATCTCGGCCCGCAGGCCTCGGTTCTCTACCTCCAGTTCCACAATGCGGCGGCTCAGCAGGTTGGCCTCCTCCTCCACCAGCTTCAGGTGCACCTTCAGCTCAGTCTCGCGTGAATGTGGGGCATCTGCCAGCTCCTCAGCTGACAGGGCAGCATCCAGGTCACCATAGAGTGAGCGGTACCTAAGCAGCTCCTCCTTCATGCTGTCGTTCTCCTTGGCCAGCTTGGTGAGCTTCTTGCACATGAGAGCCGACTCCTCCTTTGCAAAGTGCAACTGGCACTTCAGGTCTGCGCTGTCCTCCTGGGGTCCAAAGGGCACAGGGTAGACACCAGCCAAGAAGGTCAGCATTGGCACAGTGCTAGCCATGGCATTTAAGGGGCACTAACTACATACTAGGAAAACGGGTGAACCAGACACAACCTAGGCCTCAAGGAACTGGGAAGCCACTAAAGGGACACTGACTTTTTTTTTTTTTTTTGCGGAAGCAGGGATTGAACTCAAGCCCTTGTGCTTGCCAGGGAAGCACTTATTCCACTGAGCCACCTCCCCGGCCCCTTCAAGCTGATCTTGAGCTCACTGTATACACTAGGTTGGCCTCAAACTCATAGCAGTCCTTCTGCCTCAGCCTCCCAAGTGCTGGGTTTGCAAATATGTGCCCCCACACCCAGATCTTGTACCAAGGATGGAACAGCACCCACAGCCTTGACCAGCCAAATAGCTTAGCAGATTAAAGTGCCTGCAAGCAGGCGCAGGGGTCAGGGGTTCAATCCCTGGGCCTGCTGTGCAGGCCCCAGCCCTGCCCCCAGGGCACGCTGAGATGGCAATTGAGCCTGAGCATGGTGGTGCGCACCTATAATCCCACCTCTTGGGAGGCTGAAAACAGGTGGATCACTATGAATCTAATCTAGTAGTGAGACCCTGAACATTCTGTAGACCATTCTTTAAATACAGAAAAAAACAAACAAACAAAAAAACAAACCCAGCACCCACAGCCTAGAGTCTGAAAGCAGGTGACAACTGTTCCTGCTGCTACTGCCACCACTCCTTTATTTTTATTTATTTATTTATTTATTTGAGAGAGAGAGAGAGAGAGAGAGAGAGAGAGAGAGAGAGAGAGAGAGAGAGAGAGAGGCCAGCTCAGCCCACCAGGGGGCGGGCTGGCTGGCATGTGGTGCTGGGGGATTGAACCGCGGTCCCTGATGCTTTTGCTAAGCTTGTTCTAAGTA